GGGGGGGGGTGAAAAGAAATAGACTACGGGTTAGTTTTATTGTTCTATGTGCAGTCCAGATTTCCGACCAGATGTATAGTGGTCTGTGTGGACGAATAGCATTAACCTAACCTCTTCATATACAACTAACGTATTACATGTATTATTTGGTGAAAAGCAAATGTGCCGAGCACCGGATTTTCGTTGTCTCATTTTTTTTATTTTTGCGTATGAGTTAGGAGACAATTTCCCGCTCTGAATCTTTCAAACTTATTAAGCCAGTTAATTGCTTATGGGTGGATGGAGCGCTCCACTGGCAGTTTCTGCTTCCTGTTTTTTTTTAAATTTGATTTTTATCTTTTTGTCCGTCTTGCTTTTACTTTTCCCCTCTTGCACTAAATGACCATAGTTGTGCCGAAAGGCCCTTCTTTAAATCTTTACCCAAACCGAAATTCGGTTTATTATAGAAAGCGTGGTTGCCCAGCACTACCCCCCCCCCCTTTTTTTTTTCTCCCTCGCTTGAAACTAGCCAGCCATCTGCGCTTGCCCCTGGCAGTAATCGCAGGAGGATATTGCTCACCTTATCTGCCTCGTTCTCCACGGAAGATGAGCAAAGATTTTTGATAATTCGCTTATTGCTGTTAAGCTTTTTACCTGAAGGTGAAGTCGGCGCTTTGATTTTCCCAACACATGCGACCTGGCACTTGAGCTTTTGCTGCTGCTGCTGGTACTTTTAATGTTATTACTTTTTGAGTTGTTTTTTTGTTGCGTTAGTGAGGCCGATGTTGTTATTGCTGCTGATGTTCATGCTGCTGTTGTTGTTGTTGCTGGTGTTACTATTGCTGCTGTTGTTGTTGTTGGTGTTGGCGGTGTTTTTCTTGCTGCTGCGTTGTTGTTATTGTTGCTGTTGTTGTTGTTGTTGCTGATGTTATCGGTATTAACTGCTCCTGAAATTTGTTGTTTGAAATACGTCACAAGAGCGGATGGCAGTCTATTGTGAGTGGGTGGTTGGCGGGTGCTCTTGTGTGGTTTACTCTTTCTTTCCTTTCCCATCAATTAAACATCGGTCGTTTCCCCTCATTTTTGTGGTTGTTACTCTCTTATAACACCTCAATTCTTCGGCATTTATTTGACGTTTTTTGGTGTCGCAAGCACCGTAAAACTCTTACTAAAACTAAACCAAGTCTATTGTGGAATGAACCGTTACCATTCAACGTCTGTGGTGTAATAATTTTTGGCTCTCTGCCTTTGCACACAAAATACGCAAGCTCAATTCCCTCTGAGATAGTTATTTCGTGGGTGGTTGGCGGGTGCTCTGGTGTGGTTTAGTTCTTCTTTTTTATGGTTGTCACTCTCTTGCAACACCTCTAATCTTCTGGCGCTCCTATGACTTTATGCAGTTGCGAGCACCGTAAAACCTCTACTAAAACTAAAACAATGGTTGGTTCGAGTAAACCGCTCTACCCTGGTGGGTGGTTGGTGGGTGCTCTGGTGTGGTCTGCTCCTTCTTTCCTATTGGATATCTATCGTTCTTATCTCTCCTCCTTTTTGTGTTTGTTACATTCTTGTAACACCTGTAATCTTCGGCACTTATAGTAAGATATAATGACCTTATTGTCTTGCAAATGCCGTAATACTTTTTCTAAAACTAAAACCAGCTCAGCCCGGGTTGATGTGAATGGCAAGGTCGAAGCAGCTCGCCTCCCAAATGTCTAACTTGTGTAGTTAGGGGCGTAAAACATTTACAGTCATGTTCCTTCTCTCGGGGTTACCATTCTACACATGTAGATCTACTTGCTTCCTGGCGAAATGTGACCGTTTCTCGCTGAATCGTCATTGAAAACAACTTAACTGTCGTCTGTAGTATTTTTAAAATAGTACGGTAATCGTTTTTGCTATTGCTAGTTTTTCAACGAATATTAGTACGATAGTGGGTGGTTGGCGGGTGCTTTGGTGTGGTTTGCTCCTTCTTTCCTATAAAAAACCTATCATCTCTATCTCCTCCTCCTCTTTTTTGTGTTTGTAACTCTCTTGTAACACCTCTAATCTTCGGCACTTGCATGACCTTAT